TTCACTATAATGCATAATAATTTTAACTTTACTAAAATTTGCGAGTTTTGGGTCATTGTTAAGTTATTAACGGCGGGTTAATGGAAGGTCTATTTTGTGCAACAAAAAGAAAGTTGAGATTATTTTTGGTGAATTTTTGATTTTTTATTTTAAAATTTTATTTAAATTTTTAAATTAACTTTCTTCATGAATTTATTTTTCCTTTTTTAAATATTATACTTATCTTATAAAATATAAAAAAATAATTGAAAATGAGAAAAATAATGAAAACCATGCAAAATTTATGATATAAATAAGATAATCAATAAAAAAGCAAACTACAATTGAAAAAACAAAATAAAAATAATAAGTAGAGTTCTCTAACATTTTATGCATTATACGGAATATTAATATACTACGTATTTTTTGAAAGAACGTGTAGAGTTAGGATTATTTTAGATAATTTTTCCCTAAAAATAAGAAGAAGTAGTATATTAATGCTCTACATAGTATGTAAAATGTTAAAATCCACCACTTCATATATTTTTATTTTATTTCTTACTAGTTTCAGGTTAATTTCTATTGATTACTATTTTTCATTAACTTTATATGATTTTAGTTATTTTTCTAATTTTCATTATTTTTTATATCTATCTATTTTTTTATTTTTATCCAAAGGCAGACTTATCTTTTTAAAAAAGAAATGATGGAGGTAGAAAGTAATTTTAAAAGTTTAAATCAAAATTTCCAAAAAAATTAAAAAACAAATATTCATCGCAAATTATTCCAACTTTCATTTTTATGCTCAAAACATGTCATTTTCAATTCGTTAATTCACTGTTAGTAACTTAACGGCAACCCAATATTTGGAAATTTCAATAAACTTGGGATTATTATGCATCACAGTGATAGATTATATTATTTTTGAAAAACTGGATAGAGTTGAAATTATTTTGGATAATTTTTCCTTTCTAATATATAATTTTCATTTTTTATTCTACCTCAATTTTTACTTATATTGATGTGAAAGTAACTATAGTTAAAAACCGTAAAAGAAATACAAGCCATATTTCGAGACGAAAGAAATATCATTATTAGTACTTAATAAATTAATTAAATTTATCATGTACTCATAAAATATTTTCTAATACTCTGTAGTTTCTTTATTTTATTAATATTGATTGATTGATATATTTTATGGGCAAGATTATTATCAATTCAAAAAGTAAAATTGGGTGATATGAGCTACAAAATACTTTAATTAATTTTATAGGCCTTGAGAACATCCTACACAACTACACAAGCATGGAGGCATGCCCATGTATATACTATGTAACCGTAAATTTTATACAATAAATAAATATGGTTTTTCTAAGCAACTAATTGGAAAGCTCTCATGTTTACACAATGAATATTTGAACTTTTTAACTTCACACAAGGGATATTCAACCGTTGTGTAAACTTTACACGATAGATAAATATCCAATGTGTAAAGAGAGACTTTTGATGATATGTCATTTATTCGTTGGAGTCGTTGCCCACCGCAACTATAGTCAACAGTTGTCATTTATGTGCGAAGTCTTAGAAAAACTTAAAATTTTAAAAAACTAATTGTAGCCAATGAACTAAGCTACATGCATAAGCGCACAATTTTGGCTCCTACATTGGATGTCGTCGATTCCATAAATGAGTATATGACAACGATGAATCAAAGCAGCGAATCCCGAACATACCTTAGTTCTGACAAGGTTGAGAGCTCGAACTGCAGTTCAAGTTTTTTCAGCGACTTACACTCCCCAAAATTCTTAAACAAGATTCGTGCTTTTTGGTGTACCGAATCATGAGTTAACTTTGAAGGTAGACACGCCTATTATGTTGTTGCGAAATACTGACCATTTAATGAGTTTATGTAATGGCACACGGTTGATAGTAACTTGGTTGGCTAATCACTCAATACAAGAAAAGATATTATCAGGAAGCTACATGGGTGAAGAAGTTGTTATTCCAAGAATATCATTAACATCATCCGATACAAGAAGTTTCAAAGAAGACAATTTCTTGTGTTACTTCGTACGCAATGGCGATTAACAAGAGTTAGATACAATCTCTAAAACATGTTGGATTATTGTTACGGAAACTGGTATTTAGTCATGAACAACTGTGTGTTGCAGTTTCAAGAGTAACCAATCGTAGTGGATTGAAGATTTTGATATGCAAGAAGACAATGTTCTTACAAATTGTACAAATAATGTAGTATACAAAGAAGTCTTTCGAAATTTGTAAATCAACAATATTTTGTACCTTAAAATAATATAATCTCTGTATTCTATCACATCTTATTTTTTAGCATTAAAAAATAATCTAATTTAATGACGTAAAAACGATCCATTCAAAACATATGTGTGAAACTACTAACTAGCTACATGTAGGGGTGTTCATTTATAGGTCTGGACGGCTGGACCCAATAGAACATCGGGTCGATCCAGAAATTACTAACCCTAAACCCGATTGGTCCGGACCGAACCCGAATCAAAAGGATTTCAGGTCGATCTTCGATCCGTAGTATTCTTAATTTCGGGGTTCGGTCCGGTCCGGTCATTACCCAATTACTAATTGGTCGAGACAGAGATTGACCAATATCCTCCTTATCCGTAATTCTTAAAGACCTTAATTTTATATTTTCCGTTCAAAGAACACCACCCAACAGCTCAACCTTATCCGTAATTCTTAAAGACCTTAATCGCCAACGCCTATTCACGGCAAATTATATGGTACATCCAGCTGTACCTTTCTTAGGTACATCCTGGTATTTTTGTAAATTTTGCAAACTTTTTATCCAATGCCCAGAACATATGTATGAGAACTATTATATATGACAATGAGTACCAGCAGATTTGAGAAGGAGTACCAGCACTTATGAGAATTATCATATTCTTATTCAATACAAACATGAATAAAAATGTGTTTTAAATTCTCCATATGCTCAGAGAGTATAAATGAGTAGGAACGAATCGAATAGAAGAAGAAGTTGATGATGGTACTGAACTTTTTAATTGTGAAAAAATTGAATAATACTTTATTTCAGAATGAACATTTCCTTATTTGAGAATGAGTATTGTTTTTTTAAGAATGAACATACGCTATTTATTATAATTATGTTAGACAAATGTGTAAAAATGAGTACTTTATTTTAAAATGAGTACTACCTTTGCCAGAATGAGTACTATATATTTCAAAATGAATGCTTATATTTGTACTAAATACTAGGGGTGTGCACCGGTCCAAAACTGGACCGGACCGGAACCGGTTAGGACCGGAACCGGAATCGAGATTTTCTTAGGACCGAAGACCGAACCTGTTGGTGACCGGTCCGGACCGGTCCGGACCTGAATATTCCGGTCCGGTCCGGGTTTACCCTACTATGGACCGAATTTGTTACATTAAAAAATCGGCCAAATAGCTCTGGTGCCCCCTGTGGTTTGAAAAATTGGCACCAAAACCCCCTCTGTTTTCAAAACTTATTTCTAAAGTCCCCGTGGTTTCAAAACGTTGCACCCACACCCCCTCTAATCATTTTCCGGCCATTTTCCGGCGAAGAGGGGGCATTGGCGCATAATTTCTAAACCATAGAGGGCATTCGTGCTCATTTCTTATTTTAGTTTATTATTTGTGTTTTCCCTTTTTTTGAATATTTTGTATCTCTTTTTCCTTTTCCTAGATTTTTTTTAAAAATATATTTTCAATTTTTATAATGTTTTAAAAATTTTAAAATTCTTTGTGTTTGAAATAAAAATAAAAATAAAAAAAATTTACATTACATCTATCTCAAATTAAACATTTTCAGTTTTTTCTAGAATAATTTTTTGGAAAGTTTGAAAAAACCCAGAATAAAAAAAATAAAAATACGGAAAAACAAAATGAAAAAAATTAAAATACGCAAAAAAAAAGTCTTATACAAAAAAATTTGGACACGCCTAAAAAAGTCCTTAGAATTGAGATGTCCAAAAAAGATATTCATTTTAATTTTTGTATTATTTTTTTCTTATTTTATTCCTCATTTTTTCAAAGTTCTCAAAAACAAATTCTTTTTTTCAGAAAAAAACAAAAATTGTTAATTTCAGACGTACATATGCATGATACGGAGTATTTTATTTTTTCAAACAAAAATAACTTTAAATTTTAAGAATATTATAAAATCAATTTTAAAAAACCCTAATTAATAAATGAAACAAAAAAAGGAAAAATGGAAAAAACAAAAAATAAACGAGAAATAAAAATCAGCACTGATACCCCCTATGGTTTAGAAAATATGCACCAATGCCCCCCTCTTCGCCGGAAAAATGGCCGGAAAATGATAAGAGGGGGTACGGGTGCAGCATTTTGAAACCACAGGGACTTTAGAAATAAATTTTGAAAATAGAGGGGGTATTGGTGCCTGTTTTGCAAACCACGAGGAGTACCGAGGCTATTTGGCCTTAAAAAATCATATAAACTAAAATTTGGATGCAGCAACATCTTCAGGGCACATAACTGACATAAGCATTACTAGATCATAGGATCAGAATTTAGTGCATAACAAGAGCATTGGTTTTTTGGATTTGATGTTGCATGACTGTTTGTTTTGTACAAATGGGGAAGGGATGTTGCTACTTACTATTTCTTTTATGAATTACATTTTGTAGTGTTTTGGTTGTATAAGATTTAAAAAATTCAACTAAAAAAAATTTCGGTCTATTCGGGTTCAGTCTAAGAGTTTTCAGTCCGGACCGGGGTCCAAGACCGAATAGGTCCGGTCTTGGGTCCTATATTTTTTCAATTCTGTCCTGTCCAGTCCTGGACCGATGAACACCTCTAGCTACATGTAATAATGAGCTGATTTCCATAATCCTTTTTCTGCCTCTTCTCTCGGGGAAGGAAGGAACACGGAGGGGGAGTTGTCTTCGGTCCTCCATCATCGCCAACCTACGTCTTCGTCTTCCTCTCTATCGCCGGTCGTCATCATCATCTTGCCATCGTCTTCTCCCTGTGCGCGGACAATAGTGGCTGAAGGCAGTGGCGATCAACAACGGTGAACTCCCTTCAAATCGGATTTAAACTCTTCGTCTAATAGAGGTGAGTCGTGTTCATATGTCGATTATTAGCATTAATTCATTGATTAGATTCGTATATGGGTAAATCTAGCAAATGATTGTGAATAGGATGTTGAATTGTTTGTGATTTGTGTGTGGTCCTAAAATCTCTAGTTGTTTTCTGGTGGGACGCTGGCAGTAGGCTGGGCAGCGCTGCTGGTTGAGCTTGGCAGGTCCAATTGGACCCAATTGTGTTGATTGGGTTGATTTGGATTCTGTTTAGGGTTAATTGGGTCTATTTGGGTTTAATTTGATGCAAATGGGTGAAGATTGGTTCAATTAGGTCCAATTTGGGTGGTTTGGATCCAATTGGGTGAAGATTGGTTTAATTGGTTTGTTTGGGTTTGTTTGGGCTGTTATTTTTGATGACGTTGTTGGAGGGGCTGCCGGGCAGTGTGGGCAGCAGGCCCGAGGTCTGCGGGATGGATTCGTGGTCGCTTGTGGCTGCTTGTGGACTGGAAGGTGGGGCTGCCGGTTTGGGCATCGGTGTTGGGCGTCGGGTTTGGCCAGGTGGGTTGTCGGGTCAAACCGGCGGTAACATAAACTGTTCCGGCGGGGCAGTGAGCCTGAGGATTGAGTCCTTGGTTCTGAATTCGCGTCATAGGTAAGTTTATTTATTTCTAACTTTGGGTTAACTGTGTGTTTACTCCACATCAAGACTACTAAAAAAAGTTGTCTTATATGCACAAGAATGACATACATTCCTCTTTTGGAATGTTAGGCTGATCTAACAAAAGCTGCTTGAGGGCACATAAGTCTTTGGTCACACCACTATAAAATCAAGAAGCAATAACGTTAGATCCATTAATAATAATAATAATAATAACTATTATTATTATAATACCCCTACTGTTTAAGCATGACGGTAACAGAAACTCGATGATTCCGTTAAGTTTCTGTTTGTTACGTTGACATATAGATTGTGTTCTAAATTGAATTAAATCTATTGGTAATGAATTGTTGATTTTCATTATGTACAAAGATAGAGCACCTAGTGAGTTAGGTTGATCTTGACTGAATTGAATACTGTACTAATCACCAATAAGATTATTAAGAATCAGCCCATGTGAGCCCTGAGTGCATACTCGATGGCTCAGGGTTAAATACGTACGTACGGAAGTCCACAACCTATTCTCAGCACTTCTGAGATAGAGGCTTCAACCCACCCATTTTCCCGGCACCTCTGGAGTGTGAGAGTGAGACTTGTTGTGAGGATTTTTGGTATTGAACTAATAAATGGACAAAATGTCGAAATGACATGACATGGTTTGCATCATTATAATATGTTGCTATTCTTTGAACTGTATCTAGCATTAGATACATTCTCATTCAGCTTTTAGCTGAGCGCGTAGTCTTTCTTGTCTTTGTTGCACGTAGGTATAATTGGGTCTAGGAAGAATTAGAAAAATGTAATTAGATGGGAGCATCTGGAGATTAAGGACTAGGGTATTGGGGTAGTCGTTTGGATCTAGGCCATAGTTTTTGCTTTTTAACACGATTGTTGCTTTCCTTTTCGATCCTTTCTTAGTGGCTGATACCGTATAAACTAATTGTTAGATTAGGAATAACGTTATGTATAATTCTATTAGGGACAAAACAATGCTTATTCCTTTTATGTTCTTTGGTTTTCACTTCTTTCTTGTGAAGGAAGGAAATTTGGCTTCTTAGAAGAAAGAATCGGTTTGAAGTCACAAGCATACCATTTGAAGTGGTAGTTGGATGACTTGGCTCAATTTTTGAATTAGTAAACCATGCAGAGGTCAAGCTTGAACATAGTTATAAGATTTTGGTATGGTTTATTTCAATTGCATCTTTAGGCAAATGACCCACACACATCTAAGCAAAATAATTCAAATTGGCCTCGCGTAACCTCAATTTGTATCCTGTGGTTTTTGATATCTCTTGTTGTCTGATGAACCATAAGGCTTGAGCATGGAATCCACTATTAAGAAATTTCAACAACGGCTCAAAATAGTGAAGAATGTGATTGATAATTGGGAGAAGCTTCAAACTAGACTCACGTCCCAGTTTGCTAATGTTTCTTTCTTCATCGAGAGGTTTCAGTTCTTTAGTTCTATTTATTTCTTACTTCCCAATAAAAAATTGAATTCGCTCATTTATAAAACACAATAACTCAAATTTTGGAATCTTGAATCAAAATGTAATGTTATTACATGTAAAAGGCCCCTGCACTATATATTTGATGTATGTGTGTATGCCTTAAGCTTGCATTATGGCTGCCCGCCTCTCGCCTTGCCTTTCGCCTTAAAAAAGGCCCTCTTTCCCTTCGCCTTAAAAAAGGCCCTCTTGCCCTTCGCCTTTCATAACTATGGTCAAAATAGAAATAAGTTTTTGGGCGAAGGGAGTATAAATTGAGTATTAAGTCGAAGCTAGCTTCAAGAGTCCTGTTGGATAAAGGAATTTAGGTTGGAAGAAAGGTATGTTCTATTGACCCGTAGTGGCGTCTTGGGAGTTAAGAAAGTCCACATTCGTCAACTGCATGTGGCACAAATGATGATGCTGCAATAGGTGTGTGGTCAAACAAGGTTAGATAAGATTCAGAATTTATCCAAGTAAAGGTGGGAGTCGCACCTATGGAGGATAAGATACGTGAGCGTGGTGAGGCACGGTTGAGATGGTCAAGTCATGTGAAGCGGCATAGCATTGAGGCCCTAGTGCAGAGATACGAGAGGTTTACGATGGTGGGTGGATGTTGAGAGGGGTAGGCCTAGGAAGAATTCAAAAGAGGTAATTAGTTAGGATAGGACTTTTTGCCCTTTCCCAAGATATGAATTTAGATAGGACCGTCGGGAGATTAAGGACTATGGTAGTGGGGTAGTCGTTTGGATCTAGGCCATAGTTTTTGCTTTTTAACACGATCATTGCTTTCCTTTTCGATCCTTTCTTAGTGGCTAATACGTTATAAAATACTCTACTTGTTAGATTAGGAATAATGGTATGTACAATTCTACTAGGAACAAAATAATACTTATTCCTTTTATATTCTTTGGTTTTCCATCAATCTCCGATGGAGCCAAAATTTCACCATTTTTTGGCTTTGGGGTGTGATGGAATAAATCAAAATGGATCTCTAAACTATCTGCGCTTCTTGCGCTTCTTTAATTAATGAAGTAGCAGTTAGTCAAGCAATGCAACTTTCGACGTTGAGCCGGAGGTCTCTTTGGAAACAGCCTCTCTACTTTCGAGTAAGGGTAAGGTTTGCGTACACACACCCTCCCCGTTGTTGTTGTTGTTGTTGGTTTTCACTTCTTTCTTTTGAAGGAAGGAAAATTGGCTTCTTAGAAAAAAAAAATCAATTTGAAGCCACAAGCCTACCATTTAAAGTGGTAGTTGGCTCAATGTTGGAATGAGTGAACCATCCAGAGGTCAAGCTTGAACATAGTTATAAGATTTTAGTATGGCTCATTTCAATTGCATCTCTAGTCAAATGACCCACACACGTCTAAGCTAAAAAATTCAAATTGGCCTCGCCTAACCTCAATTTGTATCGTGTGGTTTTTGATATCTTTTGTTGTCTGATGAGCCATGAAGCTTGAGCATGGAATCCACTATTAAGAAATGTCAACAAGGGTTCAAAAAAGCAAAGAATGAGATTGATAATTGGGAGGAGCTTCAAACTAGATTGATGTCCCAGTTTGCTAATGCTTCCTTCATCATCGAGAGGTTGCAGGTCTTTAATTCTATTTATTTCTTACTTCCCAATAAAAATTTGAATTCTTTCATTTATCATATACAATAATTCTATATATCTCATTTAGGTAATTCAAGATTCCAAAAACTATGGGGCCTTGGCATGCATTCAAGGTATTGAAGATGTTGTTTTGGCAAAACAGTTACATTCTCTGCAAACTATTTTGGTTTCAATGAACAAGACAATGTATGCCCTTATGTTCCCTCTACTTTCTTTTCTGTTCCAGTTCTCAAAAAGCTTGCTTGAAGTTGAACAGAATTTGTTTTTTTTATTCTTGGTATTTTACAATTGAGTATTATACATACACATCTCTTGGAACACAATGTCACAACCTCTCTCACGTGTGGGCGGGTTTGCTTTAGAGAGACTTGCCCGCTTGTGAGTGTGGGAGTGGCACAATGTTCCAGGTGGTGTGCACATATAATTTCTGTTTACAATTTTTAGAGGGTGTTTTGGAGTGTGGTGAGTAATGGAAAAGTAGAAGTTATAAGTTAGAAGCGGTAAGCAATTATGTTTAGCTTTGCTAGAAAGTACTTCTAGACCTTAATTTCTACTTCTAAAGCTATATAATTCACAAGTTAAAGTAGATTCCCAAACATTTAAAATTGTGTTTTAGTAAAGTAGAAGCTATAAGTTGTTTTCAAATGCACTCCCAAACATCTTCTTATACTCCCAACATCCCAAAATAAGGTTTTGAGTTTGAATTATCACACTTAATAAGAAACTTGGAATTGCATGGTTGAGATCTATTCAAAAGAACTAGAACTAATATGAAGCACACAATTATTTTCTTAAAAGTAGAACCTTATTTTAGGATGGACAATAAAGGAAGACAGAGACTTTTGAGATATTGCACATTCCCTCTCCAATGAAATTCACACATTATTTCTTCTTATTTCCAAAATAAAGTTCAAACTTCTCTTTAAGAATACTTGGCTCCCAACGTTCTTCTCTCTTCCAAACAAATTTATGCTGTACGCATGTCACTTTTCAACTCTTTTCTTGAACTTTGTGCAGTCAACTACAAATTTAATTTGGGGATGGAGGGAGTATATCTTTTTTTTTTTTTGAGGAAAGGAGGGAGTATACCTTACAGCTATAAAGTTACTGCATTTTCACGGCATATAGTTATGGTTTTCAATGGCATAACAAATTAAACTGTTTCATGCATGGACATCTAGGGAAGAATTTCATTCCATTGTTTTATCGTTCGAGAAGATTGTCCGTGATGGTAGACATCAAGTAAAGTGTGGGTCAACCCGGCCAACTATGAAACAGTTGCAGCAACGAGTTGGCATCAAACCAAGCCTTGCAGATTGCTTAGATGGGCTTAGTATTCTCTGTGAGATGCACCAATCAGAGTAAGCAAGCACTCTTGGTACCAAGTTTTATGACTTTTATATGTACGTTGTAGTGTTTTTGTGTGTTCATGTGATTTAAAACCATCATGGTTTTTGTTAGTCATCTCTAGTACTGCTATAGTTTGCTAGTCATCTCTTGCACTTCATCCACAGGCCTCACCACCATTGATTTTGTTGGATTTGCTTTCAGTTAGTTTTTCCAAATTTAACCTCTAGAAGATGTGCAACCATTGCAAAGGTTGTGCAAACAGATGATCATGCCAAACCATATGGGAAGAGATTGGATAATATTAAATATTAGCTCAAATGAGGAGTGTGGATGTACTTTGTTTTTTGGAGAAACTTATTATTAATTAGTTTTCCTTCCTCATCCTTTCATAAAGTCCATCCCAGAATTGGAATAAGGTACCACATTTGATTAAGCAGTATAAGCACAATTATTAGGAAACATGATATTGTGTGGTTGTGATCTATACAAGAAAGAGAGAAATAATACTCCGTATGTATTACACCATTCTTTCATTCTGTTTTGGTCCAAACTCCAAACCAGAACCTTTTTTCTGGGCAGTGAGAGTAGCAACTATGAGACAAACAGTTCAGTCATTTTTTTTAAAGCAAAACTTCAGTCATTAAATTGCTCTAGTAACATTATTACACTGTTTCAGGTACCATCTCAAATCAGCTGTGGTTTCTGCAATATCAACACTTGCCTTGAAACCGAGGTTTGATGTTCTTCACCTCAGTGTTTTATTTATCCATTTCAAAATACATTCTTGTTCTGTTCCTAGGGGTATAATAATAATAATAGTAGTAGTAGTAGTAGTAATAATAATAATAATAATAATAATAATAATAATAATAATAATTATTATTATTATTATTATTATTATTAATGGATGTAACGATATTGCTGCTTGATTTTATAGTGGTGTGACCAAAGACTTATGTGCCCTCAAGCAGCTTTTGTTAGATCAGCCTAACATTCCAAAAGAGGAAGGTATGTCATTCTTGTGCATATAAGACAACTTTTTTTTAGTAGTCTTGATGTGGACTATGAAGCCTATTGTTTTTTTTTGCAGTGCAATTTATATTTGATGTCATCTTTGCCGAAGACAGCTGTTGATCAGCTTATAACACGCATGGGACATTGTGGAAACATCTGCCTTTTCTGGGGTTGTGCTTATGTTTCAAATCTGTGCTATGTTCTTTATCTTCTGAGCAAACAAAACTATTTTGTTTTTGCTCAATAAAATATTACCCTCTCCATCCCATATACTCCGTAGTTTATTGGCATGTTTGTCCCAATTCCCAAAACAGAGACTTCTATTCAATGAAAACAAGCTGATATTCATGTTTTATGTTGTACGGTATAATGATTATATTTTACTCAAAACTAAAGTAATAAAAAATAAAGTGTAAATTTTCCTCTGTTCCATAAATTTTACGTCCCCCAGTTTTTGTTCACTTTTGACTTTTGGAACTGTTCATCTAAGCACTTTGACTCATCAAATTCTCTCAATGTGTAAGCCTAAATATAGTCATGTGTGATTTTGTTTGATTTGTCTTAACATATACGGAGTAGATTATTAATATATAATTTCTATAATTTTTTAATATACAAATTATAAGATAAAATGAATTAAAGAAGTGCATTGGATGGTGTGTAAAATTAAAAGTGGACAAATACTCTGGGACGGAGGAGTAATAAACATAAGAAATTTGTCTGAAGTCAATGTAGATGAAGGGGAAATAATATGTACTCCGTATTTCACAAAAAAATGGCATTTTTTAGACATATCATAAAAGAAAACAGAACGAAAATAATTGGATGGATGGATTTGCTTACTGATGCTATTTGCTTTAGGGCTTCTTTGACCATGCGTAATGCAATCCCAATTCTTGCCAAATGACGCCACACGCCATTGACCTTCATGCGTGAAAAGTGTTAAGGAATAAACCCATTAAATACTCCGTAATATTTTTAAAACAAACTTTTTTACTGGGTATAAATTAACTTAGAAAAAAAAACATTTGTTTGATCTATTTAGGGCATGTTCTTTAGAATTTAAATTCTTAACTACTAGTTTCTTTCAGTTTTTTTAGTTCCTTATATTTTTTTCTAGTTTTTCCATATCATTCTAGTTCTTTCCATTTTCTTCTATTTACTTTCAGTTTTTTCCGGTTTTTTTCATTTTTCCCATTTTCATTTTTCTTCAAATTTTTTCTACTCCCCAAACAATTAATCTAAAAACGATGTATTTCTAATGTTGTTATTATTACTATTATTGTTGTTATCAATATAATAATAATAATAATAGTTTGTGTTATATTCTTATTATTATTACAGTTTTTATGTTCATAACTACTTTATAAACTATTTCATTTTTTTTATTTTTTCTATGTCACTATTTTTACGATTCACATTCTTCTAAATTGATGTGAGGAAAACATTTTTCAATTTTTATAAAAACTTTTGAATGCCAAAATATTTTAGAGCAAAATAATAAGCTAGGAGTAAACATAAAAATGTACCAAATATTAGTTCTATATTTTTATTCCCAAAATAAGTGTTACAATGCAAATACAATATCAATCATAAAAGAAAAAATTAAATCAATTACATTATGTATGATATTTAAAATAAAATCTTCTAATATATAAAATGCAATTAAAAATATATTTCTTCATAATAAATATTGCATAAATAAATTAAGGTGTAACGTAACCACAATAAGATATTAAAAATTTAACATTTTAAAATTTATGCCAATTTTAAATTCTAATTAATTCTTTTTTAGAAAGTAGATTTTTGTGTACGAAAATTGACAATACTTTTTATGTTAAAGATATCGATTAAGATAACGTGATTATGAATATAATAATAATAATAATAATAATAATAATAATAATAATAATAATAATAATAATAATAATAATAATAATAATAATAATAATAATAATAATAATAATAATAAATTATTACAAAAATTAAAATGAGAATGATATAAAATATAAACTTAAATAAATTTTTTATAGTTTTTTAGATTTTCAAATTTTTTCCAGTTTTTCCAGTTTCATCTAATTTCTTTCAGTTCCTTCCAATTTGTAACAAATTCTTCCAGTTCTCCAGTTCCTTCTAGTTTCTTCCAACATCTCATTCTTTTTTTCCAGTGCTAAAGAACATGCCCTTAAGTTCATTAATCTCACCATTTTTACATACAATTCCTAGACAAAATATGGACTCCCCAAATTTAAATAGCTCAGTCAGAATTCTTGAACAAGTACAAGAAGACAAATGAGAACACCACTTAATAAAGAGTTACAGTGCAGAATTCTTGAACAACAGCTAGAAGACGAATTCTATGACAAAGGAATCCCTCTTCAAATAAGAGTTTATGTCCAAGAGACAATTATTCCAATGACAATCCTCACTCCCCCTTCGTTTAAATTGAAGCCAGCAAATGCAACGGTTAATCTATTCACTTCAACGAATAGATTAATCCATCCAGCATATATATATATAGCTCATACAAAAGATGGAAGAAAACCACATTGAATACACAAGAGAGAACAACAAGTGAAAACTCTTCCTTCTTCTAAAGAGGTATAAGTGAAAAGTACTTGAAGGTTTCTTTGCCTCAAGTACAACACCAAGTTGAAGGATATATTTTTAATCAAACACTTTGATTAAAACGTGGCACATCAGCTTTCTTACAAGCTGATCTTGCAACTCCTATTGTTCGAATATTGCAGTTGTTGAAGAAGCTTGACCTTTGAAGGCAAAAGAATAATAATAATAATAGTAATACAAAAAATATTTAAAGTTATAGTATTAATTAATATTTAGGTATGTGTAGCTTTAAATAAAGTAATGTGGTTTAATCGAATAGTAATTATTATTTAATCCCTGAAGAAATATATTTATTATTTTTATTATATTTTTTACCTAATCTAATGTGATTGGATCTAATTTGATTTAATTAGACACGACCTAATATGATTGTTATAAGAAAATAAGGAGAAAAAATAAATTCTACCAATTACCAAACAACCCTTAACCCTTAAGTCCTGCGCAAATCATTTTGTCACTTCTTCTTCACCCGCTCTGTGCATATACAAAGAGAACTGGAAGTTTAAAAATGTCTAACGAAGCCGACGAAGTGGAGCGTCGGAGGAAACTGGAAGAAGCCTTAGAAGTTAAAGCCTTAAGGCGCATCATTAACGCGTACCTCAAGTATGAATATTTGTAACTTCCCTATTCAGTAGTCAGATGTTGGGGTTTAATGATATCGTCTGTTAGTAGTAGATCTGTTTCCATTCTGTTTTTGAATGCTTTTGAAGATTTTCATAGGTTGAAGATTGGTATTGTGGATATCTTTTTTCTGGGCTAATTTATAATTCTGACTTTCTTCTTGCCATTGGCAATTTTATGTTTCTCGAGAAAATGTTTCTTTTTTGTTTCTAACTTTTTTATTGAATTGCCTTGCAGCTATCCAGAAGCTTCAGAGGAGGATGTAAAAAGAAATGAAAGGTCTTTCAAAAAGTTACCACAGACACACAAGGTTCTGTTTTGCACCCTGTAAATTTCATATTGCACAATCGTTTGGCATGATATATATATGCTTTCATATTCACTTATATTATATCTCCCACCATCACAAACAGAATTGAATGTTTTGCATTTCAATTTATGTAAAATGAATGCTTGACATCCTGGTTTTATTATATGCCAGAGCTAGGTTAAGATTTCATTTTCTGTTCGGGCTTTTTTATGCTTTCTTTTGTACGGAGTATATAATATTCATCATAGACGCCCTTTAATATTGTACGTTCCTTTTCCTTTCCATTATTCAAGTGACAATGGATGTGGCTTAGCTTTATGTGGAGACATTAGATATGTATCATACTCTTTAATTCATTTGTAGCTGAGCGGCTTCATTGGCTTAATGAAGTAGTTCGATGCTCTATTGCAGCCATCTAATATATAATACTGGAGCTTATAGAAGTAGTAATACGATCTATTTCTAAGGTATATAAGTTTGCCACTAGGGGCAAATACTAGACCACTCTAAGTCTGTAGCCATCTTTAAATAAAGTATAGAGTGATTCCCTTAGGAAGAATAGGTTTTTAAATATGTGGATATCAATTGATCATATTATGAATTAAGATTTATAATCTGATATTACTTGCAGCTAGCAATATTTTTACTGGACAGTATGCCCGTACAATATGTCACAAAGATGTCTGAGGCCTAAACACCATTAACAAAAGGAGTTGAGAGGTCTGGCGGGTGGGAAGTCCACATCATGCCCGAAAAATGGAAGTTTTAAGTACATAATAGGAGACAGCACATAACCATGGATGCACAGATTCATTACTTGATAGGATAGGGTTCCAGAGCCTTGTATTTATGTGTGATGGATGATCAATAAGATGCTTAGATTCATAACTCTTTGTTTTATAATATTTGATTATTAAGTTACAATGATTCATCAACTCTTAGTTTCCCAGCAATAACTTTGCCTACATATTACTTCAATGTTTGACGTGCTTAATACTTCTTTCAATTTTTTTTGAAATCTAGAACTAAAACTCCTAATCCATGAATATTATTTCACAGGCTATCTTATCTCATCTCCCTTCGAAGTTCCAGAAACTTAGATGGTAAATATTTTTAGATTACTTTATGATACTTTATTCCATTCATCCTTGAGGAACTAAAGTTTATTGCTTTTGAAAACTATTTACTTATCTTCTTCACATGTTTTTAATCTTGAGGTAGATGCCAGTGGCTTGTCATGTCAGTGCTTTAGTAGCACTGTAGCAGACACTTAAATGCATTCAGAGTGATGACTTTGTTGATGTGTATACTTATTTTCTTTTTTCTTTATTTCTCCCTCCCCCTTTGCTCTCTCTCTCGCTCTTGCTCTCTAATATAAGTCTAAAGATTATTGGAACTCAGAAGAGAGCAGTTATAGAGAGAGGATTAAATGTGATCATACTTCAAAAGAAAACATGAAACTGTCATTTCATGTTTAGGAAACCAATATAACCAGTTTTCAAAAGCCACCACTTTCCTTTCATGTATTTCCTTTTCAACTTATAAAGTAAGTTACAATTTAATTTCGATTAAATCTTTGGTTTGATTCCTTCTTTGGTTATTAAATAGCAAAGGGCAAATTTTTATAAATGTGAGTTATTTTGTGCTAAGAGTATGTCTTCGCGGGGCACTATGGCATACTCAAGGGGCTTAAAATTAGTATTTATTGTATTTTTATAGTTCTCCATGTGTTTTTGTGCTTGAGTCTGTAGTTTTCACACTTGTGCTAGTTTTTGTTTTTGATCTTACTTTGTTCGTGCTGCTTTCCCATGTCGTTGTGCTCTTGTGTTTTTAGCCGGGGTCTCTTGAAAAGAGCCTCTCTACTTTTCAAGTGGAGGTAAAGTTTGCATACACCCAACCTCAAGTTGTTGTTGATGATGATTCAATCTAATTTTCTCCTTATATTGCAGGTGTATTGCACAAAATTCATATTTCATATTTGAAATGCTGAAGGTGATTAGTGATGTCATTAGCACTTTTATACGTCTTTTCCATTCCTTTCGCGCAGTTATTTTTTCTAATTTTGTTTGGTTTCTGGTTCTTGGAAGTACACTAAAAAGATAATTTCATTATTCATTGTGGCAGGCATTTGAGCCTCCAATTGATCTAAGCTTGAATACTGACATTTGTGAAGACCAACATCATCAAGATAACAGCTCAACTAGTGGTGATATATTGGACTCTCAGGAATCATTAGAAACAATTCCTAGGGAGCATGGAAATGATAATTTTGGGGCATTTTACAAGGTCTCTCTATTGTATTGTTTACTTCTATATTTATTGAGGCGGAAGTTTGTTTTTTCTGTTTATTTTGTTTTCACAATTGACTTAATCTTTGTAGACTACCACAGAAGGAGAAAATTGAGCATTCAAATGAGTTGAGTGGTTTGAGTCTTACCTTTGGTTTAAAACATCAGAATAACAGAAAGCATGATGGCGATGATTGTTGTAAAGAATTCCAAGATCCCAGCAAACAATATCCATCTGTGTGTTGCAATGAGCATGTATGTTTTAGCTATAAATTCATAAGGTGTACGAAATGTAAGGCCAACCGCTAGTTGAAAAGAGTGTTAACCCAACTTCACACCTAGTGACAGCCCAACTTCACACTTCAGGGTTTGGGCCCTAGCTCCTCTATTTCCTTCATAAAGTTTATATGGTGGGGTTCTTTTGACACCCCCCTTAAGTGTCCTAATATGAGCATATGACACCACCTCTCCTGACTCCTCACCCTTAGATCCAACTTAAAACTCATCAATGGTCCAGATTTAATAAAAATTTTCTAAATTTCTAAGCCTTCTTTAGCTTTCTTTCGCTAGAGCTCCGTCTCCCAAAACCTCACCTTCGTTGCTGAATTTCTGAGATGACTGACCAAAGAACCTAATTTTTATGTACCCTTCTTTGCATATTCTCAATTCCTCTTGCCGGACTACACATAGAGAAAACAGACTCGGATCCCTTGTTGAACGATTCCAGGTTTCTCACGCCAACACCAACCCACGAATCCCGGTATTACCCAACGATTCATTACTTTTGAGGAATTTTTGAATTGGGAGTTTCAATTCGTACTACTCCAGCTGATTTAGTAGTTTCAATTCTTGTAACTCCAACACTTCTTATCAAAACAAATCAAGAGCTGATTTTTACAACTCCATCGAATTTGGTAGTTTTGATTCTTATTCAGATTTTTTTATTGTAAGTATATTTCCTAATTTTATAGATTTGGAGAATATTCTGATTAAATATAACCCTAGAATTCAGTTTGTATTTTGGCATTTCAAGCAGGCCTTAAGCACCCATTCCCTTTGCTACTCCATCTTCTTATATGAAATAGATTAAATGAATTGTATACATTGTAGAATCCTTCAAACGTTTCATCACTATCAAACGCCATCCCTACTTGAGTTGTAATTCCAAGTGAGCCTTCATCGATCACCTTAATTGGTGTTGAAAATGATTCACGTATGGCAACCTCTCTTGTTGGAGAGTTCACCTCAGTCATATTAAAAACAATATGTTTATTGATCAAATACATTGCAGTTTCTAGAGAATTCCGAGATAACTCCATTGCAATTCACAAAGCCACATGAATTGATGCTGATGATGTACCACAATGGACAAGTAATAAAAACTTGTAGCAAGGAATAAAATTCTGCTTATAATAAGAATAAAAATACTAAACCAGATGGAGCTGTAAAAACTAGGGACATGATGAAGATTTGATACAGTGATACCTGAATCTGTGGGTTTACACCTGCATCAATTCAGTGCAAGTCTTCTGTGTGAATCTGTGGGTCAGCTCCGTGCATTGTTCAGCGCGACAAGTGGAATGTCCTTGACCGCCTTCTCTGTGTGTCAGTGTGTTTTTCAGTGAGAGGAATCAATGAGATGCAAAGGAGAAGGGTTCGTTGAAGTTTGGTTCTCTTGTCTTGGTGCATCTTCAAAGAAATTGCAGAGATGAGGTGTGATTTTGGCAGACAGCCCTAGTGAAATAGAGTTAACGGAGGTTTAGAAAATTAGAAAGTTCTCATTAAATATGGACCATATAGCCTCTAAGGATGAGGGGTGGTTCTGTCATATAAGGACAATTAAGGTGGGTATCAAAAGAACCCTGCCAAAGTTTATAAACACATGTGCCATACCCATTTAATCATCTTAAGATATTAGAATACATTTATATTATGTAGTATTCTTACTCCTCTCTGATACGGCTTTCATATCTCCCTTTCCGTTGCCATGGCAGGTGGTTGCTCTCGCCACCCATCAGGCCTCTCCTTCCCTGAAAATCCACAACCATGTTTTTAGGGAGACCTATGATTTTCCAAAATTGGAAAGAGCGAAACAATATTTTCCAAGAATATCAGAAACAGAAACAAGGGAACATACAATTCAAATATTAGAAATCATCCTAAATAGGACTAAAACATAGAGAAAAGTACCAAAATAAGACTTTCATGTTTTTTTTCCCGGAATAGGACTTTGCACTGTGGTAATGTGACTTTGCATTGTGGTAATGTGGCAGTGTACATGTGCAAATTAATATACTTTTTTGGTAATGTATATGACCATGTTTGGTAATGTAAGTCCTATATTGGGAATAAAAACATGGAAGTCCTATTTTGGTATATTTTCAATGTTTTAGTCCTACTTTGGTCTTTCTCCCTTCAAATATAGGTCAATAAGTTCACTAGAAAATCACCAACAAATTCACTTTAAGCAACATCCATACTTAGAAGAAGTTACTCATATGCATCAAATAGTAGTTAGACACAAGTCAATATCTTAACTACAACTGAGAGAATGGGAGATTAATTTTTATTGCTCTGCTAGGCATGTATGAGATAAAGAGAGAGAGAGAGAGTTAACCTTTTTTGGTAGTTTTCTTGAAGCATGCTCCTGATTTGGATGCACAATACTGAACTTCTGGATTATGTGAAAATGGCTCTGAAGTTACCAGGGTCATGCATGGGACTTTTAGTTTTCAAAATGGAGAAACACTGTTCTTAAAAATGCCATGCATCATAAAGGGACTAGAATGCTTTCCAGTTGCGAAACATTCTATAATATCTGAATAAATTCTCAAGTCCTGATTATTCCTGCATTAATTTCTGATGCATAATGGAGAAGTGCTCTTGCTAGTAAAATCAAAATAATGGAGAAAATTCTTGCAAAAAGTACCCTTTCCATGTTCTCTTTCTGTTATGCACAACTAACCTATTTGATTGTTTCCTTTCTTCCTTTGCAAATGATCTTTGTTTCAGATTTCTTCATCCTCTTCCGAATGGCTGAATCCATCATCACAGTCCCATGTTCCATTAGTAGATGTAGATAAGGTATTTTTTTCAGTATACTCCCTCCGTCCCATAATGGTGGCCCTGCTTCAGTTTACAATGGTTGACTAATGTAGTTTTCAGTTTAATTTTTTTAAATGTTGGTGCAAAATTAAGACATATAAATTTAATAATTTATTAACTACATCAGCAACTCTATAATTCATTTAAATATTGGTGCAAAATCAAGATACTAAATTTAATTATTTAAGAGGTGACGTGGCTCTGTTATTATAACAAATAAATAATGAAAATATGCAACAAAAGAAGATATTATTTGACCTTGTGAATTGTGAATGAGACCAGTATTATGGGACGGAGGGAGTACTTTTTAGTTGACATATCATACTGCATGACAAACGGCATTCTGTTGTGCTATTCTTCTGTTGTTGTATTGGGTTACTCTAGGTTTGTTGTTGTATTGGGTTCTGCAGCTTTTGAATTCTTCTTTTTCCCAAGTCTTCTGAATGAATTGGGTCTAATATAGTAATATCAAAATGAGTTTATAAGTATTAAAGAATTAAATGCTCCAGACAAACTATAAGAAAATCAGTTGAATACAAATGCATTTCCAATCTCCCAATAGTAGGCAATGCAATGTAAGGTTTTTGCATGGGAAAGGGGTTAGTTATATTTATATGCTCTACAACAACAACATTACCCCAGTGCTTCAAAAGCTCATGCCCATTCCGGGGTAAGGGGGATCGGATGTACGCAGATAGTTTAAAGAGTTATTTTGCTTTATTCCATCGTACTCCAAAGACAAAAAATAGTGAATTTTTGGCTCCATAGGAGTTGATGGAAATATTTTTATCTGCTCTATTGGGGAAAAAGATTTCAAATTTCCTTGCCAATCCCCTGTCATGTATCACTGTTTTGTTTAATTTAATAAATATATTGATGTTCCCATACAACAACAAACCCTGTATCATGACTAATTGACTATCACCCAACTCTGATGGGGTCAAGAATACAAGATTCTAACAACATTTCCTTGCTTAGTGGTTGCATTTAACTGCACAGAATTTCATGGAAAATAAGAAGCATGGAAAGTTTAATGCACTTAATAAAGCTAAATTTCCCTCACTGCCTCACCCTGCAGTTTAACACATTTTATTTTCATTTATGAATGCTTTTGTTTTTCATTCATCAGCTTTAGTTTTTACGTTTTTTTCATTGCCAGGTCAGGTGTATTATAAGAAATATTGTGAGAGACTGGGCAGCTGAGGTATTTGTGCCTTTTCATTTTTTTCTCTCTTCACCTTTTGGGCACCCCACTGTCCCATCCATCCCTTTTCATATATTGTTTTAAGAGTCAATTTGATTGACTTAATATGTGTGTGTAGGTGTGTAGTCCTAGTAACCGACATTAGAAGTGTATCTTGACTCAAGAAGTGCTCCCTCTACATTTGAGTAAATATGCATTACAGACTGTCAAATTTTATATTATTGCTTTTGTGAATACAGAATAGACAAAGTGAATGGGACTCAGGATAAGCAACGATAAAGAAAAACTTTGAAATATTAACACTATGTTTGATTCAAGGAATTTGAAAGAGAAAAGAAAAGAAAATTACATGGTTACTAAGAGGGAAAACAAAATTCCTCACATTTTGGTGAGGAAAAAACAAAATTACATCCCATTTTCTTTTCTTTTCCTTTCAAATTCCTTGAACCAAACATAGTGGAAGTGATTTTCTGGGCTGTAGCTTGCTGCTTCCAATCTACTCCAAGGAGCTATGAGCTGGGAAAAACATTGCTTTCAATAAAGTTTTGCTTTTGTTTTAATTAAGCAGCTGATGCAATATGCCTCTTTTCCTAGGGAGCTTCTTTTTTAAATTTGTTTTAGAAGTTCATTTTGGAGACACTACCTAGTTAAGGAAAATTTTACATCCCAGAAATAAGAATTAGTTTTGTTCAGTCTAAATGCTTTCAAAGAAGTATGCTCTGTAAAGCTCTTTTTATAACTCCTCATAAAATATATACATTTAGGTCCTATCTACTTGGGCTAAGTGAGAAATTATCACATTTTTCTTTGGTAAATTATGTTTACAGGGGCAAAAGGAACGTGATCAATGCTACAAGCCAATCCTAGAAGAGCTTGAGCGGTTGTTTCCTAATCGTCGGAAAGAAAGGTTTGTTACTATGTTACTTACATCGGATAGTGAGTACACATTCTCTCAATGTGTGAATACTAAAATTGCATTTTCTGTGTTCTTAGTCCTCCAACTTGCTTAGTTCCTGGCGCTGGACTTGGAAGGCTTGCATTGGAAATATCATGTCTTGGTAAACTTATTTATCTGCCCGGGGATCAATTATTTTTTATTCTGAATGTAACTCTCACGTTCTGAATATTTTTTTATATTTTTTGAAGCAGGATTTTCAAGTCAAGGAAATGAATTTTCGTACTACATGATGATCTGCTCCAGTTTTATACTTAACATGTATGCATGTAATAATCAATTAATCATCCATTTTAATTAAGTCTTGGGAAAGTGGTTTTAAGGTTGGATTACATGTTTTTATTTTATTAGCACTCAAGCTGCTGGGGAGTGGACAATCTACCCTTGGATACACAGCAATTGCAATTCACTTGCAGATAACGATCAGCTTCGTCCCATCTCAATACCAGATGTTCACCCTGCAAGGTTTTTGTCTTTTCCATGCAACTAAACATTTCCCAGTGCATGTGTCTTATTATATATTATATATGGAGTATTAATGAATCCATCCCTATGCTAAAAATTAATTCCAGCTTTTCATTATTCTTTTTTGTTCCCTTTATGGATAAAAATGGGCAGCTCGGTGCACAAAGTGTACCCGCGAGCGGGTCTGGGGAAGGGTCCCACCACAAGGGTATAATGTAGGCAAGCCTTACCCTGCATTTCTGCAAGAGGCTGATTCTAGGGCTTGAACCTGTGACCACAAGGTCACACGACAAGAACTCAACGGTTGTGCCAAGGCTCCCCTTTAAGGATAATGTTTTTTATTCATACACAAGAAAAGACAATAGGAAAGAGAAGAAATAGATGTAGTGTACTACTGTACTTACATAATGCTACATATGAATCTTTCTTTTAGGAAGTATGTTTTGTTGAATATTGTAACCATAAACATAATTAATGGCAATGGATTTGGCACAAAGTCACAAAACGATACATTCTTGCATGTTAGTACGTCAAATATAGGTCATTTGTATAGTTTGATACACTGAAAATCAATAAAATCTCAAATGTCGTAATGGTATTTGAGCACTATCCAAAATTCTTTCCATTGAGAACGAACAGTGATTTTAACAGCGAAGTCTAATTTATTTAGCTCAGTGTGTGTATATATGTGTATATACTATGTACACACACTTACTTATATACATACATGTACAGTAGATATATATATATATATGTATGTATGTATATGTAATTATGTATATATATATGTATGTATGTATGTATGTATATGTATTTTCCATCATCTCCGATGGAGCCAAAATTTCACCATTTTTTGGCTTTGGAGTGTGATGGAATAAATCAAAATGGATTTCTAAACTGTTTGCGCTTCTTTAATTAATGAAGTAGCAGTTAGTCAAGCAATGCGACTTTCAACGTTGAGCCGGGGGTCTCTTTGGAAACAGCCTCTCTACTTTCGAGTAGGGGTAAGGTCTGCGTACACACACCCTCCCCAGACCCTACTCTTGTGGGATTCAACTGGGTTGTTGTTGTTGTTGTTGTATGTATGTATATGTAATTATGTATATATATGTATGTATGTTGGTATGTATGTATATCTGTGTGTGTGTGTGTGTATATATACATATATATATCTGTGTGTGTGTGTGTATTTATATATACATACATATATATATATACATATATATATATATACATATATGTATATATTGACACAATATTCTACTAATCTAGTTTGATGTTTGAGCCATGAAACCAACACCACTACTATAGTACTAGGTGTTGAATCTCGCAGCGACCCTCCACTGGATCACACTGCCACATGCTATCAATCCAACATGCTATTAGTCTAGGTCCACTATTTTTTGCTTATCTGGCAGTGCATTTCACCTACTGCTCCCATTATCAGGCCTCCTACAATATTTTAGTTCTCTTGCTCATTGCAGATGTTCTAACCTAGCCGGGTGCCAATGTGGTGCCTAACACGCCTAGGGTGTCTAGTTGAGCGACTAGTTTTTCTAAAACGGATAAACAAGCATCTAATATGCCTAAAACCAAAACCATCTAGTATCTAGACACATCATATGCCTAGTGGATGATTAGATGCTCACCTACACTGAGTTGTGAATACTCTTAAGTGCTACATAAGTACATAGAGGTTATCTGTAAAGATATGGCATGCTATGTACTAAATCAATAAATACAACATATGATTGTTATTATCTTTTGCAGTATTATTCTCTTTTCGTACATAGTATCATAGTCTATTTTGTGGCTATTTTATTCCGGTGATATAATTCCTGTGCGATGAAGTTTTCTTCTCCGACATGTTTCCTATGGAAAATTGAGCAAACTAATACCACTATCAGCTTTGTACACTCACCCTGGCCTGTTGTCTTATGTTCCACTACCTTTGCCTGTTGCACACGGTCAGATCTTTTCTCTGATGTCTAATCTTGACCAGCGACTTGTCCCCGAAGACTTTCCTTGCAATTGACCCCTTATGTTTTCAGGCATTTTACCAATGCTTGATTTGCATAGTTATAAATTATACTCGTAATAGATAAGCATATTACAAGTGGTCTCAGCAAAATGGCTACTTTCTGTTTTGCTATGCCTTTATGTTGATGATTGTACCCACACGGAGACTGTGGAAGCACCTTGGCACGACTTGATTTCAGAAAATGGTGATGAGAATATTCCTCTGCGCCATTGCTGAGAAGAGTTTAATAGACACTCTGAATTGAGTATTATATCATTAATAAACTGGTGAACAATGGTGAATTGCTCTGATAATATGATTGATGAATGTGCAAGGATACAATTCCTCTGTACAAGTAACAACATATTTATATTCAAGCACTAATGTATTGGTCCCCAAACATCTAGGGACCAAAAAAGGTGAATTAGACTTTTTATTAACATAAATTTGAATAAGAAACCTTTAATTGTTTCCCACATTGGTCTGACTCACATTCAAGTGACTGGATACCAGATAAACTAGCAACACATTGTTGGAGTTTATTGAGACAAGGGTGACCCAAACATCTATATGGATTAGAGTTTGCAAGACAGTAGCATGAGATGTAATGCTTGTAGGAAAGGATAGGTGATAAATCGGACTAGATGGAGCAACTAGAGTGGTGGGAGATGTAGAGGCTTTATCGGATACAAGGAGTTGGAAATGGATGACAGATGACATTTAAGAAGCATAATATTTAGCCACAAGTCAGATGTGCCGGTCAATGCCGGGATGTGAGGAGTTTCTTAGCTGCATTGTGAAGGGTGTCCATTTGTAGAGGATGCCGGAAAAGGGACAAAGTACAAACCAGTGTTTGTTGGTACTGTTCAAAGCCTGTTAATCTCAACGTGAGAGTGAGATGGCTGTAGGGTTATTTCAATTGTGGGAGAGAAGAGACATATTTCACCATATTCTTCAATCTCTCACACACACACCTACACAGACACACGAAAACACACATCCACCCAGGCACCTACGCATGCACGGCTGCACACACAACACTAACATAAGAGTTATCAAGACAGCCTTTAATATTTCCTCACATGCTCCTAACAAACCCTTTCATAATTCTTCACATGTTGTACAGCAATATTTCTTTTTATTCTACATGCACTAGACAAAAATAATAGAAGACATTTTCATTGTGGCTACTAAAGGTTAGGTCATTGATATGTTGATAGAGTTTGTGGATAGTGGATACTTGAGTACTATAGAAAACAAAAGCAGTAAGATAACATGTTTGGTTATTTTGATCTAAGTAATTTAGCTGAAGTGTGCCAGATCAAATCGTCATGATTTTTGTGTTTTTTTGTGTAGTCCTCACTTTGTATTTTCAAAAACAGTGCAGGAATTACCGAAGGGTTTTCCATGTGTGGTGGAGATTTTGTTGAAGTTTATGGTGATCCAAGCCAAGAAGGTAGAATATGTAACCACAATTGCTTTCTTTATCTTTTACAGCTAGAGAACAGTGAGAGCACAGTGAAAGCTAGCTGTTCTTGTGTTGTATATTTGGCATTTGAATTTTGAACTTCCTATCATCAGATCTTTCTTTCTTTCCTTAAAAACATTTTCTCTTCTGGAGATTTTTGTAGTTGTAAAGGTGCTTGTCATTCTCTTTTGGATCACACAGAACTTGTTTTGCTTGGTTTTCAATTCAGCGTAGAATGTCAATTTTGGGCACCTGAATCAAATTCTATTGAGATCATTGTGTGATTGGATGTTATTCTTAGCACATTACATGATCATTTTTGTGATTTTGAAGTCTCCAGTTCCCACAGGAAGCTAGTGGGTTTATTAGGATGACATCTTTAGTGACATTGCAATCGCTGGCATTCTGATGAAAACTTTGACCATTATGTTTTGTTGAATTTTAATTAAGTGCCATGCATTACATGGGTGATTGGGTTAATGTCTTGATTGAGTGAATCCATATTTAGTTTGGGACATTTTCAGGATCTTGGGATGCAGTTGTCACTTGTTTCTTCCTTGACACTGCCCACAACATTGTTGAATATATTGATGTCATTTCAAAAATTTTGAAAGATAATGGAGTAAGTTTTATATTTTAGAACAACCTTGAGTTTACTTTCAAATAAATCTTAATAGCTAAACGGGTTTTATTGGCAGGTGTGGATAAACCTGGGACCCTTGCTCTATCATTTCGCTGATATGTATAGCCTGGAAGATGTAAGCTTTTTTGGAATATGTTGAGCTGTCTTTATCATTGTGCTTTGTTTGCTTTGTATGTGTGGTGCTCTTTGCTTGCCATGTTTTTGTTTCGTTTTATTAGTTTGTTCTTGGCCTTTGTGCTTTTTGCTCTCTCTGCTATATATGTCCTATGCAATCTTATTATTTCTATGTTGTTTGAGCTGGGGGTCTCTTGGAAACAACCTCCTTACTCTTGCTGTAAGTTTATTAATTCGATGCTCTGTACTCTTTGTTCAACTATGTTAGCATGGTTTTTTGTTGTGCAGGTTTTTTTTGTTAAGTGTGGTCTCTTTTGTTTTCTATTCCTTTTCTTGGTTTTCTGATAGAACTCGGTTTTGGGAGTGGGTGTATAGAATTTGTTTCATTTTTGTGAGTATAGTGTGTGGTTCTTAATGTGGGTGACTGCAACATCTGAAGGTGTCCTCACATAGGGATATGGGTAGTAGGTGCATTTAGGTGCCTTCATGAATAAGAACATAGTTGGTGCATTTAGTTTTTCATATGTTATTAATTGACTTGGAGGAGGCATTTAAAGATGTGCGTCGGGAGATCTTAATGCTATGTTTGGAGCAGGGTTGCCAAAGTCAAAAGCCGACTCAAGTCTCAAAAGTCCTTTATCGCTTAAGGAGCAAAGCACAAAAAGCACTGGCTTAACTCATGTAGATATATATTTGATATAAAATCAAACTATAGCCACAAAGAATGACCAAAACATGGAAATCTTTCATGCTCAAACTCAAAACACATCATAGTGGAAACTCAAAACATTAAGTAATATACTCATAATGAGAATGTGCAATGTCATTTATGGCCCAACTCCTAAATCCCTATCCTGAACTTGGAAAGATCGTCATTTAAGTAATGACCACTTCCTTCTCCATCTTCTGATTTGCATTGAGCAACATCCTCCTCAGCTTCATACACAGTTGTTAAGGCGTCACCTAGCCGTTGCTTAGGTGCCACAGTGCTCTGCGATGGATGCCTTGCCGGACAACTCGCATAGAAACATTTACGGCAATGAGGCGCTTGCCCAATCATGGCCTCTCGCCTAATGGCCCACTCCCTTTCTCTTATTTTCTAGGCCAATTATCTTTCTCTATCTTTTGTGTCAACTATCTTTCTCAATCTTTTGTGCGGCCAACTTGGTGTGTCCTTCTTCCCTCGTCAATCTTCCTGCGCCAATCTTCCCTCTGGGTCTTTCGTGAGTCTTATCTGCTTTGGACTTCAGGTAATATACTACGGAGTGATATTTTTATCTAAACATTTACAGTATTAATTAATTAATTTTTCCCCTGTCTGTTCTTGAGGAAGACGCTCTAAGGCCTCCTTGCTTCTGGTGGAGAATGTGCCTCATACTGAGTGCAATATTCCTTTAGGATGCTGATGAAGAGTAAAATGAAGAAACTACTTGTGAATGCTTTGGTTTTGTGAGGTGCGGGCGGATTAATGCGTTGGATTTCTGGATTTCTGACAACCCTGCCGGCATCTACTCAGACAAGGATTGATCCTGGATGTAAAACTCTATTTTCTGATCTTTTCAATAGGAAATATGACGATGTTTCTGGGAAGATTCAAGGTTTTTACAATGGTGCTTCTGCGGTTTCATTTACTATGGAGGAGGTGCGATCTTTGGCTCTAAAATTTGAATATGCACTCATCGGAAGGAGTAATGGCAGGATCAGCCTCTCACACTTGGAGAACTTTCTTCCTAGGGGTGGTTTCAATGGTTTCAACCTACGGAGGTTGTGGTCAGAGATCTTGATCTTATTCAAGAAAGAAGATGATTACCTACGATTTTTCTACAGGAGATCTCGGATGGTTGGCAAAGTCAATTTGATTGTCCTGAAGTGGATGCCGGGGCGGACCATTACCATCTAAAGATTATCTGGTGGTTCCTGTTTGGGTGGAGATTCGTAATATTCCTCTACATTCATCAGATCGATAGGCTATGTAGTCTACAGGCTCTACGTTGGGAATGCTAATAAAATTGGATCTTAATTCTGCACGAAGGTCAAGCCTGACTTTGCTAGGCTATGCGTAGAAACAGATGTCTCCATTGCCAGGCCTCCACGTATTCATGTGCGGCTTGGTGATCAAGATCTTTGACTCCCATGCATGTTTGAGAATATTCCAGCATTTTGCAAGGAATGTTGCCGGTTAGATCATCAAACCCTAGATTTTAGAAAAATTGTGAAAGATAGTCTCGCCCTAGTGAGGCGGTGAGAAGTGGGGCAGATGGACGTTGGGATTCAAAGATTGAGGGATGTGCCATGGTTAGACAACACGGAAAGAAAAAGAATGGAAACCCTAGAGCAGAAATACACTGATGTGAATCAAGAAAGTGAACTCTTTGACATGAATGAACACGTGGGCCCCACCTCACAAGAGTGGGTCCAACATACGTGGGATTAGGGGTGGGCACGGGTCGGGACGGTTCGGGTTTCTTACAATCCCGCGTCCTGTCCCGTTATATTCAAACGGTTCAGAACGGTTCGAACCACAAGCCTATCCCACTTTGTCCCATAATTTTCGGGACCGGGACAAAACGGAACGGATTCAGATTGTCCTGCTTTTTCCTAATTTTAGGACAATAATAAAAATTGAAAACAAAAAGATTGAAAATAAATGCTACAACAATGTCAACAAGTAGTAATTATTAAGTACTCAAAATGTTTCACGAGATACGTACGGAGTAATATATGTGTGTTTATAATTTTATATATATATATACACACACACACACACACACACACATATATATACACACACACATATACATATATATATATATATATAATGTTTTTAGAAGAGTATGTAAAACGGGACAAACGGGATGGAACGGTACACTTGTATGTTATCCCGGTAATGTCCCACTTAAAATCAGGACAGAACGGGTTCGGGACAAAAAAATTTGAATCCAAAAAAAAAGGTACAATTTCAAAACGGTTCCGGCACGTTTCGGAACGGGTCAACGGGAACGGTTTTCGTGCCCGCCCCTACGTGGGATGACATTTAATTGTGTGTTAATAATGTTATGCATGTATCCCAAGGTCAACACATGAAAACGGCAAAAGAAATCCACAACAAAACCAGAGCATTGGAACATGGCAGAGAGACGGACGAGAGGGAAGAAACTGATGAACGAGCGGTCGAGCCCCTCTACCGTCTAAGGAAAACGGTCGACCGTCGTGTGCTATTCATACAAGTTAGCTACAGGTGGTCCACCCACATGGGCCGTTCAAGGTAGACGGCCGGCCCTCAGTGAGTGAGCTCACGGTATCTAATGACAGGCCAAATGGTGGTCCACTCCTTCGACCGTTCATGGGAAATTGTCGAGCGTTCGTGGGACCCAGGAGGAAGTTACGTAGCTGCAAGGTTGAACGGTCCACTCCCAGGGTCCCTGGACCACTGGTAGTCACGGTCGACCATGACGTGGTAGTTGAGTTACAAAAATTTCCATCTAATTTCCTAAATTAATTACTTTTAATTAATATTTTTATAAAATTCTTTCATGGGATATTTTAACAAATTGATTGACATTTAAGATCAAGGTTTGGTGGATGAAGCCAAAGGAGATTTGATGATTTATATTTAAAGATTTTACCAAGGTAATTACCGTTGTCATCACATAGTAATTAAGGAGGCAAGATTGGATTTGAAGATTAATCACTCTTTGATTTATGTGGAGGTTTGAAGATATTATCAAGAGGAGATCAATCAAGAATATTTGACTAGAATTTTAGTTTGACTTAGAAAGTTTCCTAGATGTTTAATTGTAATTTCCTAGAAGCTTAGTATTTTATTTGTTAGCTTAAGTTAATCATGCCTATAAATAGGCTTTGTATTCTCATTGTAACTTAGAGTTGAATGGAATGAAAATTTTGTTTTTCGTAATCCCTTGTCGGTGATTTTGATCCTGTGTGGGTCGAGAAATTCGTGAGAATTCTGACAAACTTGCAAGTTGTAAAACTAAACCCTTGGGGTTGCTAGGGTGCGTCTCATGGAGGTGCCAAAGTCATAAACTTGTGAGTCTCTAAAAGCACACCTTTAGTGTTTCCACAACGAGTCTCGTGGAGGTGCTAAAGTTATAGATTAGTGAGTCTCTAAATCACCTTATCCCTACGCCTATTCACACGGAAGAATCCAAGGAAAAACGAATATCAAAGCTAAGTCCTTCCGAATTGGTGTTTTATCTTGTTTATACCATCTTTTTTTCATCACGCCACCATCATTTCTTAATCTTTCCATAAATTTCTTTGTTTCTACCTTGTGTTAAGAAAAAGTACAAAAATGAAATAAAATAAAATTCAGTAAAGAAAAAAACTTCACAGAAAAAGAGTCATTTTTTCCCTCGTATTAGTCATTCTGTTTTGTTTTTTTCATTGTTGTAATCTTGTGACTTTTTGTTAAAAAAACAATATAAAAGAAATGTAAAAAAAGAGAGTTAAAAAAATAGTGAAAAAAACTACTGAAATCAAGAAAGAAGCATGAAGTGTTGAGTAACAAAAAGTAGAAAAGAAACGTATGCTTCAAATGGAAGCAATGATGACCAGAGAAGAGAGGAGTTCTGGGATGAGTTAAAAGTAGAGCTCTAGGAGATAACCACACTTCGTAAAGACATGGAGACAGTTAAAAAGGCGTCCGAACTAAGTCCTAGTCATTATCGAAGGCATCTTGAGGAATTACAACATAAGCCAAGGCAAAGCGTTAGAGAATATTGACAAGAAATGGAGTTGTTGATGGCCAAGGCAAGAGTCCGAAGGTTAGAGGAATCAGTCATGACAAAATTTCTATATGAGCTTAAGATCTTCATAAAAGAAGAGGTATAATGGCACAACTATGATTCCTTAGACAACATGGTAAAAGCAGAGATACAAGTAGAGAGGCGTTATTATTATATTCATACCATTCCATATTGGTATAATGAATTGCCCAAATGCCATGTCCCAACTACTCCCAAAGTAGTTGAATGGCAACCCCTTATTTTTTAAGATTCGAGGGTGAATCTTTGTGAAGTAGGGGGGATGATGTGAGCCGGAAAAGCATACACACGCATGAACAAACTGTGCACCGGATGAAAAAGAAACTACGCCCCCGGATGATGTAGTATGTGCGCTCGAGGAAGTGAAGGAAGAGAAAAGCATGCCAGTTACCGAAGACATACCTGACTCTCATGAAGATGTTGGATTTGATGAAGAGCAAGATGCACCAGAGACCGAAAGCATTTCTTGCCTCCCATCCATTGAGCTTATAGATTTGAGGACGAATCTTTCCCAAGAAGGAGGGGATGAGGTGAATCCGGAAAGTGAACTTTCCAACAAGAATGAACACATGGGCCCCACCTCACAAGAGCGGATCCAACATACGCAGGATAACATTATTTGTGTGTTAAGAATGTTATGCAGGTATTCCAAGGTGAACACATGAAAATGGCAGAAGTAATCCTCACTGAAACCGGAGCATTGGAACCTGGAAGAGAAACGGATGAGAGGGAAGAAACTATTCAAACGAATGGTTGATTGCCGTGCGGTTTTCATATAAGTGAGCTACATGTGGTCCACCCACATTGACTACTCAATGCAGACGGTCGACCGCCACGGAGTTAGGTCACGGTTTCTAATGACAGGCCAAACGACAGTCCACCCTTGGACTGTTCATGGGAAACGGTGGACTGTCCGTGGGACCCGGGAGGAAGTTACATATCTGCATGGTTGAACGGTCCACTCCCTGGACCGCTGGTAGTCACGGTCGACCGTGACGTGGTGGTTGAGTTACGGAAATTTCCATAAAATTTCCTAACTTTATTAATTATAATTAATATTTTTATAAAATCTTTTCATGGGATATTTTAACACATTGATTGACATTTAAGATCAAGGTTTGGTGGATGAAGCCAAAGGAGATTTGATGGTTTATATCTAAAGATTTTACCAAGGTAATTACCATTGTCATCACATGGTAATTAAGGAGGCAAGATTGGATTTGAAGATTAATCACTCTTGGTTTTATGTGGAGGTTGGAAGACATTATCAAGAGGAGATCAATCAAGAATATTTGATTAGAATTTTAGTTTGACTTAGGAAGTTTCCTAGATGTCTAATTGTAATTTCCTATAATTTTAGTATTTTATTTGTTAGCTTAATTTAATCATGCGTATAAATAGGCTTTGTATTCTCATTGTAACATAGAGTTGAATGGAATGAAAATTGTGTATCCTCAATCCTATGTGGGTTATTTTGATCTTGTATGAGTCGAGAACTTGTGAGAATTTCGACAACGTGCAAGTTGTAAAACTACACCTTTAAGGTTGTCACGTCGTGTTTCGTGGAGATGCCAAAGTCATAGGCTTTTGAGTCTCTAAAAGCACCCCTTTTGTGTTGCCATCGTGGGTCTTGTGGAGGTGCTAAAGTTATCGGCTAGTGAGTCTCTAAATCATCCTATCCCTACGCCTCTTCACGCAGAAGAATCCAGAAAAAAATGAACAACTCGCCTTCCGCCGGGTTCGAGCGCGCATCACACACTATGGTTTGGAAGGTTAAAAGTGGTATGGATATTAAGAACAAATTTGCATCGCTAGTGGAATGCAAGGTAATTCTCACTGATGCAGAGGGAGGTTCCATTAGGGAAAACTCTAGCAAAGATCCACCATCAACAATCAGGAGTTCAGGACCCAGCCTGTTCATCTACTATCATATATGGACATGCATCCACAAAAGATTGATGTATCTCAGGAGGTTAAAAGAATTGGGGAGGATTCAAAGTCAGGTTTTGGAACACTATGATGGACTTCAACAGATGTATTGATCAGTGTAAGAATGTCTGTCCTAAGCCAGTGGGCAGTCTTTTGACATGGCCAGGAGCAAGATCTCTGGGCAGAATTTGGAGGAGGCTTGATAGGGTGCTGGTGAATCTTCATGTCCTTGCAGATTATTCAGACGCAACTGTGACACCTAGAGCAAAAAACTACATCAGATCATACACCTTTGTTCCTGGACTGCCATAGTGCCAGTATTACTAACCCTAAACCTTTCAGATTTCTCAATGTATGGGCACAATATGATGACTTCAGAAAGGTGGTTAAGGAGTATTGGCTTACAGTTTCAACTTCTGGAGGAAAACCCAAACGGATATAAACCTAAACCGATATAAACCCGAACTGAAATAAACCCGAACCAAAACTCGAAAAAATCAAACCGAATAAAACCCAGAACCGAACTAAACCGACCCGAACCGATTATAACATATATCCAAACGAGACCCAAACCAAAAAGATCCGAACCGAAACTGAACCAATTGACCCGATTGCCAGGTCTACTAATAAGATTCAGGATGAGTATGAAGCAAATCCTAGTGATATGTTGAGGGAAGCAGCAAATTTGTCTAATGCCAAGCTTTTGAAGGAAGTTAACAATGGGGTGGAATATTGGAAACAAAAATCTAATATCAAATGGTTAGATAAGAGTGTTACTAATTCTAATATGTTTCTGTACACATAAGAAAGCTTGTGCAAGAACAGTTAATGAAATGGAAAAAGCTCTAGAGATGAAAGGTTCTTGCCTTTTACTTACATGGGAGCCACCATGTGCAAAGGCAAGCTGAAGAAACAACATTATGCTAGTATTATTGCTCACATTGATAAATATATTAACTCTTGGTATAGTAAGGTGATAAACCAAATGGGCAGGCTGGTGCTTATCAAGCATATTTTGTTTTCCATTCCACTGCATTCATCACCCTTTCTCTCCCTTAAAGTAGCCAAATACTTCCCCATCCGGTTTTATAGAGTATGAAGTTTTGGTCATACAAAAGGTAATCCATGAAATGAATTTAGGGGAAACTTCAGTGCATACGTAATTTGAACCAAAGCTATCCAACTGACAGAGTTGTAGGCCTTTTTAATGTCTAGTTTCATCATACACGTAGGAGTTATCCCCTTTCTATTATAACCCCTTGCTAACTCTTGGCAAACTAAGACTATATGGACCAAATACCTCCCTTCAACAAAAGCCCCTTGATTGGTTTCTATAATAGAAGGCCCTTGGCAAACTAATTCTTTCCTTGTAAAAAAACACGAATCTTATTTTCGGACTTGCAAAAAAACGAATAATAGTGATCTTCTTTTATGCTCTTTCATGTGTTTCTCGATGTGTTTATGCTCTCCTCTCAATTTTTAGGAAATGTCAATTGAGCTAAGTCTAGAGGATGTGAAAAAGGTTGCTTTTCATTATGGATTTGAACTTGAGGTAAATTCAACTACTCCAAGTTGTGTAGTTTCATATTCATAGTACCATGACATTTGAGAAGTAATCTGGATACGGATCATGCACTGCAGAAAGAATCAACAATTGAGACAACCTATACAACCAATCCACGCGCAATGATGCAAGTAAGCAACTTATTGTTTTTTTGTTAATTCTGTTCCCTGATTTCCCTCTAAATTTCTTTTATTTTCTTGTAAGCTGTATTTCAATCATCATTATTAGCATTATCACCTTAATGCCAACTGTGTTGAGGTGGATGGCATGAAATTTAGTCTCAGCTAATTGCAAAAAGAAGTCAACACTAAATACATGCAAAAATTCAGTGGGGGAAATTTCACTGCTGAGGAGGGAAACCATGCCCAATTGGTTTTAAAATCAAAGTGTTTAATTTAGTACCGAACAACATATAGTTTGTTGTTCTTTATGCGTGTGTTAAGACTAAAGGTAATTTAAGTTCACTTCGTCATCTAGAAATCCACAAGTAATTAAATTTAGATATTGTTTGAGTCTCGTACAATGTTTAAAAAGATCCCAATTACGTAATGGTTTGTTTGTAAAGGGGCTTATTAGGTGCTGACAAATCACCTCCCCCCTACCCCCCACCACACACACGCGCGCGCACACAGACCACGTACACACGATGCACAAGAGGATAAGGATCTCCCTATAAAAGCTACATGGTAACCAGTTCACTTATTGTTATATCGGTTGTTAGGAATCAGAGATCAGAGGCGGTCAAGCGGAAGCAAACAAACACACACACACACAAATAGCAGAAATAAGAACACGAGATTTAACGTGGTTCGGTCAGTAACCTACTCCACGGGTTGCAACTAGGGTTTATCTTTTATTAGGTGCTCACAGATTATTGTTACATGATTGGGTATTTATAAGATATAAACTAGGGTTAACAACTTGCTAAACAAGAAACAACTAATGGGCCCTTTAATTAATAACTAAAACCGGCCCCCCATGTTTCTTCCCTTTAGCCGACCAGGCTTAAAGCCCACAGCTCTAAAGCCTTCACCGAATAACCCAACAATCTCCCACTTGAAGGATTTCGCATAGACACAAATGCCATCCAAGTAAACCCATCATGAGTAACTCAGTAATCTTCACTGCCAAGTCCTCCAAGCCTCCAGTTCCCAAGAACAAGCTAAGACTCCAGTTATATCCCCTAGTTGCAACCACCCCCTTCATTAATAACATGAAAGGACAGTTGAAGCTCCACCGAGCTCCAACCCAGTCGTGACTGTAACCGCCACAGCCTCTGTCTCAACCGGCTTGCACAATCCACCGGATCCAGAGATACACCGAGGACCATTACCACTCTCCAAATCCAGCAAACTATTCCCAGGAGAGATTTTAACGTTCGGATTCTTGGTCCTCAAAACCCAACGACGTTTCAGAACTGTACTCGGAACACGTCCTATGCTCCCACTGTCACGAAACCCCTGACCTGATTCAGACCTCCGAACACACTCAACTGTCATCCCCAAAACTCCAAGATTCACGTTTGCAAAATGAACCTTCTTAGCTTTGCCTGATTCAGTGAGCCCGACTTTGTTAACTGTCTTTACCGGGTTGGTCACTCCCTCCGATGTCACCGGTACCATGTATAACGATCCTCTTTTCAAGCCTCTAGCAATAACCAAA